AACAGATTTGATGTCCTCAAAAGATAGCAAAAGGTTGGAGTTGGAATCCACGGGCCGATTGATTTCTAAGTTGTTTTGTTGGTTGGGTACTTGGTTGCTTAACATGTTTAAGAACTCCTGGTTGTTTTCCTGGTTCCATACCTCACTTCTGGATTGAACATAGTCGCCTCTTAAAGCTCTGACAAAGCGCCATGTGCCTTTGGACATGCCACAGTTGAGCTCGTCAATTTTACTTTTGAAATTCTCCTTTTTTGCCTGCTTAACCTCCTTCTTCCACAGTTTTTGTTGTGTAATTAGTGACTCAAAATTCTCAGGACTGGGTGATTGTTTCGCCTTCTTGAAGGCAATTACTAAGAAGCGGTAGGTTTTTTCCAGGTGTTCATTCCACCACGCTTTGGGTATTCTGTTGTCTTCAGGTGTGTATCTAGCATTATTTATTTCTTGTTTAATTTTGTCTTCAAAGTCGGTGATCGACGCCTCGCATTCAAGTGTCTTCAGAGAGTTAAAAAGTTTATTTTTAGCCACAAATGTACCGTTTCGTTTCGTAATGTTTGTCAGTTCAATGATCACTGGGAAGTGGCGGCTGCCCCCTATTCTGGTCGCATCGACTTGTGACTTGCACGCAATGCCAGAGTTGGAAAAACACAGGTCGAGGATCGACCCACTATTAACAAGAACATCATGTTGGTAGGTATAATTACCGTCATTAAAATTATAGAAATTGGACTGTAGAATGTGCTGCGCCAGATGCTTACCTCTGTGCGAATCTATGCCATCACCCCAGATAGTAGCCCTGGCATTGAAGTCGCCCAGTAGGAAGACATTTTCATGGAGTTCAAGGAAGTTCAAAATTCTAGTTATTTCTGTATTAAAATCATGGATGGTTATACTGGGGGGGAAATACGTGTTGCAGATGGTAATATTAGTGGTAAGGTTGGTGGTTTTGATAATTAAGACATCATAGTCAGAGTTGAATGTGATTCTTTTATATTTGATGTTACGTTTGAGGGCGGTCGCCACACCCCCATAACCATCGGTGCGGTATTTTTTAATCAAATTAAAGTTAATGAGTTTTCTGTGAGGAGTTGAACTGGTGAGGAAAATTTCATTTAAGCAAGCTATGTCAATTTGATGTTTGTTTAAGTAAAATTCTATCGGGTCAATGTTAGCTCTGAGAGACTGACAGTTATATAAAAGGATTTTCATGATCTAAAGAGATAGAAAGCGAGGCTGATTGTATTTCTTGCTCATCTTTATTGTTCATTATTGTGTCGAATTGGTTTTTAACTAATTGGATTTCTTTGAAGGTTTGTTGGTCATTTTGATCGATGGAGATTCTTTGGGTGATTTTAATAAGCTGGGACAAGAGTCTTTCCATTTCGGAAACAATACCCTTCTGATACGCAGGCGAATTTATTGCAGGTGTGTTAGTATTGCCTCTGGTTTTTTTAACCAAAGCATTTGAGTGGGAAAGAGATGGTTTTGGAGGAGAAAGTTTAGTTACAGTGCTGAATTTGCGTTTTGTGAAAGATCTATTTATATTAGTGTCTTTGTTTACTACGGTTTCCATGTTCTCGCCTAGGGTTGGAAAATTGGTAACATCGTTCTCAAGGATTTCAAATCTATTGGTTGATTTTGGGTAGTAGATGTCAAGGACCTCTTTTCTTGTTAGTTTCTTAATCGCTTTGATGCGATTGACTGACTCCTCCTTTTCCCAGTGAGGGCATAGAGACTTGTCTTTCGCGCAATGTCCCTTCCTTCCACAAAGAATACATTCATTACTATCACAGTTTTCCCTGTTGCATTCATTCTTCCCGCATTTAAGGCACCTTATTTTTGACTTTCAGCCAAGCTTGGTGTGTCCCAATCGGCCACAATTGTCACATTGACGAAGGGGTGGTATGTAAAAGTCTACAGGTAGTCGGGTGTAGTTATAGATTATTTCTTTTGGGATATCATTGCCGGCAAAGCCAATCTTTAGCGTTGTCGTGGGAATAATTGAACCAGAAGAGGCATCTTTGCGGGAAAAACGATATACAGACATTATGGGTATAGTGGACTTAGCCTCAGCCACAATTTCATTTTCATGGAAGCAGGTGGGGACACCCCTCACCACTCCATAAATCTCTAGCGCAGTTCTGGGAATAAAGGCTTTTAATCCTCTTTTTTTAATTTTGTCGTCCAATAAAAACGTGTTTGCCGCATATGCGTTTTTAAAGATAACCTTGTATAAAGTACGGCCAACCGCCTTTATAAAGTCAATGTCTTTGAATCTTAGGTCTTTTATCTGACCAAAAAGTGTCAGTCCTGTGGTGAATTTTTCATTTTTCATGTTAGGGCACTCTGAAGAGTCAACCAACACAAAGACTGCTCCTCCAAAATTTGGCGGGTAAACAGTAGAAAAATTTTCTTTTTGCGCGCGATTATCTCGCCATTCGTCATTGGTTGAAAAAGCCGAGTTGCCTTTCCCGCCCATTTGCACATTTTCACACGACACTTTCCCGCCATTTTCAGCATTTTCACACGCCATGGCTTCAGCAGAATCACTTACAACCTCACCAATTACCTCAGTCATCTTTACCAGTCCTCCATTTTTGGAGAGCTCGTAAAAACCCGTCACTTCTACGTTGTCCATAATTTTCAATTTTTTTGTAGCACCAGCATCCGCATCGGTGATTTCAGGAATCACCGACTGCGGAGTCCGCGCCATTTTCTTGGGTTTGCTTAGTGCCGCGAGCGGCAGCTTAAGCTTTTTATTCTTTTTCAGAGGCACTATGAGAAGACTTTTTATACTTTACAAAGGTATACGACTGGGGGAACGCCCCAGCTAGAAAGGAAACCAAGATCACTCACCTGATTTATTAAAACTGCTCCCAATTATTTAGTTAAATTAAACGCGACGTTAAATTATGAGTCGGGGTTTTAATGCGCAGTATGCTAGAACTGCCAAGCACAGAACACTACAAAGAAAAAGCAACCACTCAAAAAGCCTTGTTAATTTGCCAATAGAAAAAGCACACAATTTATTTTCAGAAAAACGTGGGTGATAGCCGATAGATCAAAAGCCGCGACCGAACCACTCTCGCCCGTTGTCAGAATCCGAATGAAATACTCGCATTGTTTTGTTTTGTTGTCAAATTTCTTAGAAATGTGAATTCACCACGATGCGATACAGAAAGAACAAGGACCAGGGATGTAATTTTAAGTAAACGTATTATTCAGGGGCAAGGCGCAAAGCGTTCGGGGCAGCAATATTAATTTATATCAAATATAACATTAAATGGTGGTTCTAATACATTTTTTGATATTATTAACCATAGTACATACTTTATATGGTATTTATTTCAAAAATTTATGTACTATATGAACTTTTTTTTCAAACATTTCTTAAGTTTCTTTCATGAGTGCTGAAAAGCAACCATGCAAGTAAGAAATTGTGTACTACCTAAAATTTCACCTCTGGAAACTTTATCCCCATAAAGGACTTCACCACAGTTTTTTTACTGGATATACTGAGATTTTCTGATTCTGATTTTTTGGCTAAATTCACAAAAGCAAAAGCGGAAATTCTTTTTCACATTTGGCGTTCAAAGCAGAATGTCAAAAAGGAGAATGTCATGCAAACAAATTGCTGCTGAATGACGAACGAAAACAAAACAAAACAAGAGCTGCCACATGTTTATTTCAAAAGACAAAGATCGTAAATGTGTAAGTAGGCACAAAGAACGTAAATCCAAAGAACGTAAATCTATAAAAAGCTCCAACTCGCTACTTTGAAAATGTGCCGCGTGTTATTTATTTTCTAAATTGAAATAAATTTTCCTAATTACTTGTGCAATAATAATAAAATCAAAAATCTGCAGCGGACAGAGTCAAAAGCGAGACGAACTCCTCATCGTCGCGGCATAATTTCAAAGTAACGAGTGGTCCCTAAGGTTGGTGTTATGCAGAAATTTTGTTTGGCAAACTGCGTGCAATTGTTGTTGCAGCAAACTCGGAGAGTGCGAGTTTGGCGACTCTCACAGCAAACTAATTTTGTTTAGTCAAACTGCAGCAAATTCGGTGTTGTCGTCCCTCCAAAAATCGTTGGACCATGTAGTCTATTTGTGGTATATTGGAGTACTTACAAAAGTGCTCCTCTGTCATGCTGTAGCGGACCAACTCGTGTCTCTGCGCCAGCTTATTGTGTGTTACCCGATCACTGCTCGTGTTTTAACGAAATGTGATTGAAGTTAAGCATTTGAAAGTACATTTGCATGTCTGGCTGTAGCTGAACGTGTAGAGATGCTAGCTGTTAGTTCTTAGCTCCCAGCATGTTCGGGTTCGAATGTCGTCAGAGGCAACATTTAATTTTTAATTTTTGTCTTTGGTTTTTATTAATTTCAAAAAAAGCATATGCGAAGTGAAGAACAAAAGCGCGTACAAACGAAAAAATATAACGACAATGTCATTGGAGTATGTTGGGAGTAGTTTTGTACTACTCTGATGTAATGCAGAGATGGAGTATATGGTCCTGCCCTAGGACATCGCAATGTTAAATGGACCATATTTTTTATATGAATAGTGGTTAATTTTGGAGTACTCCTTGGTCCTTCGGGAGTACTCCTTACATGCATGCATGGAGTAGTCGCCATTTTTGCAGGGGTATACAACAATTTTAAATTGTGCGCGTTATGTACATCTGAAATTCTTATTTCGTGTTGGCAATAGCCATGAAAACCATAATGTTACGATTATCCTCGAAACCTTGAGGGATTACCCAAATATACTCG